CGGGTTCGCAGTGGAGAAAACAGAGCAATGACTGACATGTAATTGAGCTCTCAGTGGCCTCTGATTGCCACACAAACAAAAAGGGACATTAATTAGTTGCTGGAGCCAAGAGCGACCGATAAAGGTCTGCTCACCTCGATGGACGGCTGACTCCAGACACAGCAGAAGGTAGGACAGGCGAGCTTCCCTCGCTCGGGGCATGCTGGTGTCCACGTTGCAGTGGTACTTCCTCAGGTCCGACTTGCAGGCTTTGGCCAGCGAGTAGCTGACCTTGTAGTCCTGAGCAATCAGCTTCTGTCTGGTGGTCAGCGCCTCGCGGCACTGATGACACACAACATACACAAACACTTGTTACACAACTGAATGCTCAACGAGTCTGATTTTTAATCTGCAAGAAGGCCGTATCCATCACAATTTGTACACTTCATTGTTCTGTAACCATCATCACTATAAGATCTGGACACAGTAAATGACACTCACCCTCTCAGACATGGAATCCTCAAACTTGTGATTGAAGAGGCATTTGTAAACTCTTCCTTCCCCAGCCAGAGTCTGAGAAAAAAGGGGGGGAAAGTTTTTTTTAAGGTGCTTTATTAATGTTAACAACTACAACTTCTCTTTATCCCATGTGACACAGAAGGCAGCAACTAACTAACCAACTATAGGCTTTATCAAAAAACAGAAAGACTGAAGCTTAATCTTAATCTTAAAAAGTAGAGCAGCTGAATCCAAACTGGGAGCTGGGATCGGAGCACGGGGGCCTGAAAGCTGAAGGCTCTGCCTCACATTCTAATTTTAAATGTCCCAGGAACCACAAACGAGCCTGCAGTCAGAGATAACCAACTATGACGTCTTTAACGTGAACTTTCAATTCAGTTCTGGAGTCAGTGAAAAGAAACCAACGTGGGAAAACTGCAATCTTTCTTTATAGTTTATCACTTTGGATCCATTGAAGAACTCTTTTTTTGAACGAGTAACAAATTAATAATGTCTTCCATCATAACATTTAATAATGTAGTTGGTAGAGGTGGGAATCACCAAACATCCCACGATACGATATTATTGCAATTTTTTAAAATA